TCTTCCTCATGTCTCCGGCCGCGTCGGCGCGCTCAGCCTCCTGGACCAATTCAGCTACCCGCTGTCGTCGTTCAGACCGGACCGCTTGGCGGGCAGCCTTGCGTAAAGTGTGGTATTTCGAAAGCAGCGTCTGATGTAAGGTGCTGTTGGTTCGTGTCGTCGTGGCCGCTAACATGCGCTGGACGTATTGCTTTTGTTCGATAAGCGAAACGGTCGAGTCAGTGCACTGGCACTGGCGGCGGCGTGCTGGCGTGGGTGCGTATAGTGGCAGCGCTGCGTCCACTAGTACACTCTCGACCTGATTGTAGTATGCCGACGGGGTACGGTGCAGCCGGTCGGGGCCGCACTCCACTTGCCAGTGTCCTTGGATACCCGCCTGATGCAGGGCATCGCGGACTCCGTCACGAAGTTGTTGGACACGATATGGTAGGTTCATCTGTGCCGCAGGTTGGTGATCCCGTAACCATCGCAAGTCCTGGAGCAGTAGGTCGCCGTGCCATCGATGGTGGGGAAATTGCTTGTGTCGACGAATACGGGGCCCTGCATGGAAAACGCGTTGGAGTAACCGGTGATCACGGAAACCACCCTAACTAACCGGAATAGTGCGCAAAGGGTGAGCTCGATGTCCATAACCGCCTTGCAGCCTGGTGCAGATGAAATCTATCGTCCGCCAGGAGCGGCCGTCCGTGTGCAGCCACGTCCCATTCTGGCGCTTCTTAGGGCCGACTGTGTTGATGGCCTGCATGCCCGCGTCCTGCAAGATGGTGAGCAGCCTGCCGCCGTTGGTGGTCGTATGCTGTTGTTGGAGGCGTTCGCGTGCATATCCAACGTGAGGGGGAGATGGTGCCATGGACCCGCTAGCGTCAAGACACCAAATGAGAGAGCAGCGAGCAGGGACTTTCTGGATAGTTGAGCTGCACAGCTGCCAAAATTGGTGTTGCCCTCGAAAGTGAGCGTCTCGAACGTCATCTGTTTGTTGGTCAACAGCTACTTGGTGCGGAGGTTGGTCCGTATACGAATATCCACTCAACACGTAAATGTCCCGCTCGTGGTGGCCAGGCCGTTGGAGGCGGAATCCCATTAAGTGTCCTGGCAGCCAAATGTGAACACACCGTATCTCAGAGAGGGTGAAGAATTTCAAATTGATCCCTATCATGCATCCGTTTTTGCGTCGAGGTCCTGTGCGGGGGGCTGGCAAAATGCGAAGCCCCTCGCTCGTCCAAGGCCTCTCAATGGTGCTAAGGGTGCTTTGCTGACAGAATAGGGCCACGTCTTTGGACTTTGCCAGGCGGAGCACCTCTCCGATACAATCCGTCGCAATGACCGATTCAACACTGTAGCTCCATAGTGTAAGCACCTGTTTCTTCTTAGCTCGGCATCGTGGTGTAGGTCTCGATGGGGTCGGTGTCTGGTGCATCTGAGACCTGGTGGTCATGGGGTCAGGCTGCGACGGCGACAACGAGGTCAAAGCAGCAATCGTGGAGCGTGTATAATGGCGTCCTTTTGTACCAACACTCTCCAAGAACTTCTACCTGCCGGATCGCATGCCTGTAGGCTCGTTTGCCACCCGTACGCCCGTGCTCCCACTGCGAGAATTTCTTAGGACGTTCTCGGTGTGGTCCAGGAGGATTGGGCCGTCCTCCAGCGCTCGCCGCACTGTCGAGGAAGCCAGTCGGTATCGCGCCGCCTAGGCAACGCCAAGCACCCGCCAGAAGGAAGAGGTAGGCATGGCGGCGCGCGATGGTTGGGCTGACAGGGGGAACTTGCGACCCCCGCTCCTCTGGAGGTCCACGAACTGCTTGAGCTGCCGAGACTTCCGCCGACCTTCTGCGGCCTTCCGCCGATGCCAACTCCTTCGATCCTCGAAGGCGAAGCCATGTTTTTGGAGCGGAGACGACTTGCCACAACCTCATCGGGCGAAAACGGGAAGCGCTGATTTTTGCCCATTGGCCTCGCACGGGGGACGAGAAGCGAAGGATGGTGGCGACGACTGGGCGGCGGACGTCGAGGATGGCAGCGTGGATGACGGGAGGGCAGCGAGGGGGGCAGAAGGATGACGAGTAGGAAGACTGGCCGCGGGGCGAGGCTCGGCACTCGTGTCCCGTGGCGGAGCTCCGAGGACGGGGCCGTCGGCCACGAGGCCTGCGGCGAGCACTGCGGTGCCGGCAGGGCGCGCGCGCGACGGCCCGGAGCGCCGCGGCCGAAGGTCGGGGGCCAGGTGCAAGCAGCCGCTGCGGCGTGCGGCTCTGCCCACACGTCCGGGCGATGCTCGATGTGGCCTGTCTGCCCCAGCGGCGAGGCCAGGCAGAAGGGCAGCCGCTGTGAGGAGAGCGTTCTGCAGGAGGACGGGCCCCAACAGCGTGAGCTCCAGGTCGGCGACGCGTTCGAAGCGGAACTACGCGCCATGTTCGGGCCGATGCTGGCGAACCCCGTCAGGGAGGATCCGCGGAACCAGCTGGAGGAGGCGATCGGGGAAGTCGAGATGATGCTCCTGAGCTTC